GGGATCCAGCTGGTATGCCGGGGTTGGATAGTCAAAATCACGCGCTTTTCCGCTTCCGAGCCGGGTGGAAGGTCATCAGGTTGAAGGATGAGCTGCACAGCAAAGTATAGTTAGCGAAGTCACACGCGCAGGTGTTTAAGACCCAAGATACACTGATGAAACTGACCAGGATCCCAACGCTGCCCCCTCTTAAGAACGCACTTCCAGGCAGCTTCTCACGATCTTGGTTCGAGACATCGGCTTTCAATTTCACAAACCCGACACGGTCCCCACCAAAGAAGTCGACTGCTTGCACTTCGATCTTTCGAAGCGCATATGGAGCAGAATGGAACTCATGCCTTGTACTCTTTTGGGTGGAAAGCGAACGTTGCAAGGTGGAGAGCCATATCTTGAACGCGGGGAATGACAGCAGTTGATTCTCAGAGAGATTTGCTGGCAAGTGGACGGGAACGGGCGGGTTGGAGCCTGGAAGCGTAAACGTCGACATCTTGGACTGTTGAGGGCGTCGTAGGTGTCGTAAAAGGAGCTGGGTTCTCAACCGCATGGGGACGCGAGAGATGTTGGATGTGATGCGAGTGATTGCATCATCACCACCTCGTTAAGACCAGGCGCGCTGGAAACCATCTGGCATGAAGAGCCTTGAGTCCGCATTGCCCCAGTTTACCGCAACAGATGTCTTCGTCCTTGACGGCTGTGTCTGAGATGCCATGGTCTTAGTCAGCACGGCCACTGCAATCCCATGGCCCAAATCGCTTCCTCTTCGTTTCTGCTGTCTGAACGCAATAATGAGACCAATCGCAAATGCTAACGACGCCCTCAAAAGTCTGTGTTCGACTCGAGAAACAATCCAATGCATGGTTCTTGATTGGCTGGCTTTTCAGCAGTTTGCCAGACCAATGCGTGCGTGTGATCGGCTTCAAAGAACAGCACGTCTGGAATCCGAGTCAACCGTCGTCTGGCCGCTTGATGCCGCTGATTTGCCTCGCCCAGCACCAGCACATCCGGCCGTCCCTTTGCCTTTCCACAGACCCGGCATCAACCACCTCGACAGGTTGAAGCGGCCAACATTCGGCTGCCTTCGTCCAACCCCCCAGCCCTGACATAATACGGCAGAGGCATGAGCTTCCTAATCGACCACGGCGCCCTCAATCATCCAGGCTCCTCGACCCCACACATCCCTCGATCCCCAGCAGCAGACCGACTCCTCCGTGAGCTCGGTTCTCCAGTCCAGGCGATCGGATCCATCGCTCCAAGGTCCAGGTCAGGTGGAAACGGCTGCTTAAATACGGCTCGTTGGCCATTCAGTTAATAATCCAGCATTGTTTCACGCCACACGGCCTCTTCATCATTTATTCGATGATGCTGTTCCCTTGTCTGACTTCCGCCCAACTGCCCACCTCCCAATCTGTCGATACCTTTGTCTCTATCAAGGGTATTTAGCGCTGGTTCTCTTCTTTTTTTCTTTTCAACCTGCAAAATTCATTTTAGTAGCAAGATTCCTCGTCATTGTACTTTTTTCCAGAAGTCCCTAGGGGTGTTAGTGAACCATTCACCAAGGAATTCACAGCAAATTTCTTCATCGCTTTTCTAAATCAATACCAGTCATAGACCTGGTGCAAAAGCTGTGAAGTAAATATAGAGAGCCTTGTCCTGCGGCCACCTCAGAAATATTTATACAAATATACCCAGGGGTTTTAGTGAAGACATACGGACGAAGCTGAGCAGTGGTGTGTGAAGCTCCTCTCTTTGTCGCGGTTCTGGCACACCAAGATAGGATCGAAATGTCTTTTGCTTACAGATGCTTGAGTGCACAGAAGGAAGAACGCAACATGCCACGGACAACAGAGATAGCACAGCCAGACCCTTCAGATTCCAGATCAATAATTGAATGCATCAGCGAACTTGAGGCCTCTTCCTCTCGCTGCCCCTCTGCTTCGACTTCTTCCTACAATTTCCAGCCTCATCGTCGCGTCGCGACTGGACAAATTGAACCCCTTTACTGTTCTCAGCTGGATTACAGTGAGTGATGATTTGATTCCGTGACGGTGCCCGGTCCATTGTATTCCTCCTACCTACCTGGAGAGAGATTGTATAAACTCTCTAGCGCTTACTTATCAATGCGTGAGATAATAGGTCGCCCTTGCCCCAGAGAACCTCCGGCATTCGGTCTATATCCCTCTTCTGCTCAACTCAACTATCAGTCTTCTTCAACTCACAATTCCTGCGGGACTGCCCTCCCCAATCACCCTCAATCTTATCCTAGTATACCGTTTCCGCCTTCTCCCGGGCCACCTAACATTGTTGCTGTACCTCGCAAGCCCCCTTATCATAGTATTCTATTCAGGAAAAAAAAGGCGTTATACAAAAAAAGGCTTCGACAATCTCAGTCTCAAAGTTCTGTGTCTCAGTCTACCGAAAACCCAGCTCGAATTGCTATTACTCTTGCTCCGCCTGACTTAACCGTCCGCAGTATGGACCAACGTCCGGGAGCGCGGCTCAGTGGTGAACTCTCGCTTGAACTTTGGCCGCATGACGCAGCCCAACAGCATACCGCAAATTCTGGCCAACATCAACCTTCTCCGGGACAACCTACTCAATTGCGCAACCCAGGCAAGACCCTTCTTGAAGCTCCTCCCATGGTATTTACTTATGTGTAGATGCAGGCGAGACATTCCAGAGACCTCAACGGGCTACCACAGATCCCGACCAATGGACCTTTCTCGCACCACTGGTTCATCCCAGAACATCAGACGAGCCTTCTTTACACTCTAATTTCGAAGCGCCCCTCCCAACGCTTTTTCAGCAACAAACGGGAAATACATCTTATCCTGAGACGGCCCACTCCGGAAACGATCTTCTACTGCCGCCTTCCGGTGTCGATGAATCTTTCCCTGCTCAATATTCATGGGAGACATTTATTAGAGATGAATTGGAACGTCGCGTTACACTGGAGCAAGAGAACCAAACGCCTAGTATGACAGCCATAGATCCGTATCCCGGATCGAACCTTTATCCTGGAGTTATGACGGCACCTACCGCCAATGTACAGTTACATAATCATGCCCAAGCGGTCAATCTCATGGATCGTGCAACCGCGCCTAGTACCATGCCTCAAAGCTCGATGTCACAGGGCACCCTGGCGGGCTCCAGTTTCCCCAGTCTGCCCTCAGTTCCCGCCACGCAGCAGCGTCGTAACCATACGGAAGCATTCACAATGGAAAACAGACGTCGTTCGAGGCCGTTGGAATACCCGAACACCCGTCGTCGCATTCAATCCGAAGCACAGCAGGGTTCATCGGCACCACTCAATGCAAACCTGAACCGCCAGCAATCAGCTAATGACCCGAGCAGACCCTTAGCCGTCGCTCAAGAGAGCAACCGCCCTTCGAATGCTGCTATGCGCTATGCTACCCTTCAACGTGCAGCGCTTTTGGAGAGAAGGGCGACTGGAACTCATCCACGACGTACCGAAGCCGCAAGAGAGACTATGTCAAAGGGCCTCGATAATCAGAATGACGGACGGCCGAGCCCCAAAGAAAGCTCCGAAATGAAGGTTGATTTTGAATGCCAGATTTGCCTAAGCCAGGTAGTTGATACGGTTATTATTCCGTGCGGCCATGCGATCCTTTGTCGATGGTGCGCAGAGCAGTACATTCCGACCAATCCGGCGAGTCCGACGAGGCCCTTGGGGTATGTCAGTTGCCCTCTTTGTCGAAAACCAGTTAGAGAGAAGGTATGTTTGTCCTTTTACCGGCCATTGCTAAACCTTTTCAGTGGGAGTCCTAATCGGTTGTGGCAGTACCGGATTTTCACACCGTGAACTATTCTTATTTTGTTTTTTTTGTTGAAACTGGCCATGATCTTTTTGGGACGTTTGGCGTATATCTCTGATTGTTTATTACCCTGCATATACCGAGACTGTTCGGGGTGACTATCAGCTTCTTAAAATCGCGAAGTGTTATGCTCTTATCCTTTACCTGGAGGTTTCGTATGGTTCGTTTATGACCTCCTCTCGCCCATTTCTGCCCCCTTCACTGGGTTTATTATTTCCATTCCGGTCTTTGTAAAGCATTTATGACGGGCTTGCATGGAGGTTAAATTGTCCTACTTTTGCGTGTCGGGTCTTTCGACTCTAGTGCGTTCTTTGCCTAATTTTCTATTAATATTCCATCCAATATCACATTGTTTGGGAGTCCGAATATGGCCCCTCAATAACCTGGAACGCTGCAAGACCTGGTCTCTTCGAGTTTCTGTCAAAACTGGCTGCCCATTGTGTTGAGAATCGAATGTGTCTCCTATCGCATCAAAAGCGAAGCGATCAAGGGCAAGTCGATCCATAGCAATGTCCTGATCTGATTTGATAAAAAGTGATTAATCATGCGGCTCCACGCTTCTCAAGCCCAGTCGAGCCCAGTACGATGTCGACACTTCTTTGTCTCCACAAGCTGGGCAAGAAGGTCTCTCGAAAAAGGATAAAATAGTTTGCAAAACAGGGCTGGACAAAAGGATGGACTGTTTGTCAAGAAAATATCCAGGGCCTTGGCTGGTTTGCCATGGGAGCGCCCAGAGAAAAGAAGGAAGCCAACGAGCTTGACAGGCAGAAACCAGGAAGGGCTGGCTGGGAAGTGATAAGTGATCTGTCCACGGACAGCGGCGATAGCCTTGTGTCTTTTTTTTTTTGCTAGCTATATCAAGATTTGCTAAGTGAAGGGGATGTCGTAAATAGTATTGGAGGTGTGTGAGAGAGAGCCGTTATTCGAGACCCGAGGCTTCTCGTGCTTGGGGTGTTGTGGCGAAGGATGGTGGGCACGCCTGGTGGGCGTCTCTTATGTAGTGAATCAGCGAGCTGACGCCACTGTTTTATATGCAGGCGTTGCTGATGCTGTCTTGCCTGATGACTTGGTTGTTCAAAGGGAGGGGTGTGAGTTGGCGAGTGAGCTGTAGAGAGGGTGCCCTGCGGCTGGAGGTTACTACCTAATGCTGATTGCAGCGTCATGCGGTCACTTTCGAGTCCAGGCGAGCTTGCGGCGTCGCTCTCTTGATCTCGATCACAGCGTGATTATTGGGGGCCGAGAAGGAGAGAATTGCGGGGTAGTTAGTAAGCCGTCGATGCGATGAGGGTTCCAGATGCATCACGAACGCGGAGAGGTCACCGGTTAGTGAGGAATGAGCCAGCTTGATGGAGCTGCCGAGCAGGCCAAAATCTGGCGTGGACCTGGGCCCCAGCCTTGTCGCTCAGGTAGTCAGTTGGAAGCGGAGAGAATCCACTGCGCTGCCAACAAGGAGACTTGTGACCTGCACCGCTTGATCCTTGAGGATGGAGCTCCAATCTGAGAGACGTTCCTGGCTGATTGGACTGGAGGATTGCCCCCAAGGCAGCCGGGCGACTTACGGTTTCACCGGTCTTGGTGTTGGCGACTGAAGGCAGCATTGAGTTCAGATTCATCAAGAGGCGCGCTTGATGAAGGCCTTGATTCCAACCTTGAAAACTAGTCCTAGCTCTGGCGATCTTCGAAGGGAGCAAGGTTACAAATAATAAACTCTCTCGGGTCCATCTCGAGTCTGATTGCAGGATTAACTAAGTCCGTCGAGCCCATGCAGAACATGCCTATCAAGTTCTCTCGAACTTTGGATTCATGGCACTCGGTTCTCCAAGTATCAACCCTCCTTTGAGGTCTCCATCTTGATTGACATTCGTAAGCCTTGCCTTCTTTGATCCTGCCTTGCAATTCCAAATTCGCGCATTTGACAACTTAAATAACATCGATTAGCAAGGATCTGGAACTCGTGTTCCAATGACTGGCGCAGATTTCGCGCTCTTGAGGAGTCATCTTCCTTTTGATGAGTTGACAAAAAGAAAAGTCATTTCTCGCCCAGCAAGTTATCACCAAGCAACAGTCCGTGGGCAAGGCAACTGGCCAAATAATTCCTCGGGGTGGCGAAGATCAATTCAGCTTTGGCTGAGATCCTTTTGCCATCGTTGATGGCTGGCTATGGCGTGGTAATTGTTGATTGTTCATTCCGGAGGCTGATTCGCGAGTTCACTACGCAGACGTTGCGGAACGTACAGTTCACGAATAGCCATTGGTCCCCTTTGTCATTCTTGGAGCGCGCCAACTGCGGACACATCATATCCTTGATAATGTTTGGCTGGAGAGATGCTTCTCCTTGCAAAGGCACTTTCCTCCGATACGAAAAAGGGGTTCAGATGTCAGAAAGCAGGCCCAGGCGGATGGTCCATTCGAGTTTTCCGTGTTATCAGCAGGCGCACGAAAACTCATCGCAGGATGCGCGTCAACCCGAGACGCACGAACCAAATTCCAGAACGAAGCGACTCGAATCTCGAAAACTCGTAAACAACAAAGAAAAGTTGGTTGCATTTCTCGAGTTCGGTCGCTCTCTCTTGAACCTTGCCCTTTGTCAATCGACCTCCAGGCCCCAGCAGCTTCCTTGCGTCGCGACTAATGCAGTGAGAAGGGAAGCTTGAATCAGCTTCCAGAGTGTCTCACACCTCAAGCGCGAGGATCCCTTGAGAGCCATGTCTATGGGGAGCGGTGTGCAAGGCGGCTGAGCGGTCTCGGACGAGAAAGACATCGCTAAAAATTAGCTCTCATATTATTTTCCCGAAAAGGCAGGTAGCAGTCAGCGGGAGAAGGTGAGCATTTCACGAAAGAAGGAATTGCGAGTCTCATTGCTGTTTGTTGCAAAAAAAAAGGCGACCGTTTCTCTCAAGCAGAGCAACGAGGTTTTGACCAAACGGGAGGCTTCCGTGTCGCGTAAAACGCACAAGCCAAGCCACGAGCGCAGCAAACGCCGAGGGGATCCGCGATATCCCGCTTTACCTGGGCTCAGGGCGGAATGGGCGCCTTCCCGAGCCTATAAGGTCAGTGGGATATACGCCATGGCGGAATGTGCCTGGAATTTCTTTTTTCTGCAAAAGAAGCGGTCGCATGAGGTCAGATTCTGAAATGCATGTTCAAGAAACCTGTGCACGGAGTAGTAATATTGGTCGTCTTCTGCTCCTTCGCCTGTGGAAACAAGAACGGAGATTATCTTGGGGATGTTTTCCACGATTATGGTGGCTTGATAAGCACTTGTTCTCGAAGCCCTTGCCCAACTGGCAACGAGAGAACAAGATCATGTTAAATCATAACTATGGGCAAAGGATTAACTAACATAAGCGACCAGGGATCCTTTGAACTCCAAACCTCACAACGGGGATACTGTTCATCTCACATGTTAATTTGAGCTGTGATGACAAGGGTCAAGAAGCTGAGCCTTGAATCCTTGCTCAAGTCCTTTCGGCCTTCTTTATAGACTGATTCGCTGTAGGCGTTGCGGCGTGCATACCGGCCTCCCTCCAAGCATTTGTGATGCAGTGCTGCACAAATTGTTGTATTAACCCTGGCCTCGCCAGAATCACAGCTGCTATGTCTGTTATAGGCTGCATGGTTTTGCCAGCATCGGAAAGGGCGTTTCTTCATTGACCTTTTCTTCGTACAGATTTCAATGCTGATTTATTCGTTTTGGCGGAATGTTGCAAAAAGATACTGGGTTGAGAGTCGGTGTGCAACCTAGCAGCTTTCTAGGAACTAGTTATGGGGCGCCACCGGTGTGACAAAGAGTTAGGGCACTCATTCAGGAAATTTGCTTTGTTACTTGTTGGTTTCCTGCAGCCAAAGCGGCAGTGACGGCAGGTAAATGACTTCTCACTCGGGACTGAACGTTACGCCGCACAGGCGCATGTTCCTTGAGACAGGGGCGGACTGTCTCAGGTAACGTTGGTAGGCGGAGATCAGCTCCTAGCCGATGCGTGTCCTGTTACTGAATTCGGGAGGGCGTCAAGATACGTGATACTCTCCTTTGCTCAAACTTGCTGACATGTGGTTGCCTCATGCTTTCACGGAATGGGAAAATTGATTGGTGCAGCTATGCTTGTTGGAATCGATTGCCACACCGGAGGAGATCCACTCCGGGCGTACAGAGTAGTGAACAGGAATCCTTCGGGCAAAGTCGTGCCAGCTTGAGTACCGTGTTCCAGGAATCATGCCACCTAGTTACACTCTCCCCGGAAAATTCTTCCTCCGCCCTGTTGAGGTGAGAAAGTTCCAGCGTGCTCTTTAGTCATCTTGCCAAGTTGCCTTGACCGGGCGGGAACAGGCAAGGGGGGGCTAGGCAACGATGAGACGGCAGATTCCATAGTTTGGTTCCACTGCTCCGGAGATTGTGATTGCGGGGGATCTGCCTCTATCAGGTACGGAAGCAATCAGAGCAGGGATACCCGTCACCGACCAGGCTCTGATGCAGCCGTTCGAATCTGGCGCATTCTCAGGTTCTTTTTATTCTTGTCAACAATAGTCTGCAGGTTCCACCGCGAGGCTCCGGAACACATCTCTTGGAAGTCGCGAGCGTTAGTGACCAACGTTATGATTTGTGCAAAATGTTAGGAGGTATAAGCTGCGGCTGAGTAAAGGCTGTAAGAGTGCTTGTGGTTACCTAAGTTTGGAGTCACTTGAGCGGTTGGAGCCGAATACAGGCCCGCTGACCGTCTGAGGTAACGAAGAGATAGTATCACCAGGGCATCACTAATCCAGTTGCGAAACCAGCACAAAAGAGCAAAAGTAGGATTTTGATTGATGGCTGCGCTTGTCGCGAATTGCCTGATGTGGGATGGAATTTCGGCAGTTGAGCCACAGCACCGGGCACGGTCGTCCACCGGGAGAGCTGCTATCCCTCGCACTGTGAGGAGGATGTTAGCCTAACTTTTATATTGTGTCTCTGAACCACATCTGAGGTTCCCAGCACATGATTGGATGATCGACCAGTTATCAGTCGGGAATGGCCAGCAACAAGCAATTTGACTTGAGAGAGTGCCAACCACGCTGATGGAGACAGATCTCGACCTTGACATCCACATTCCATCAGTAATCAAAAGCCCATCATCTCCTGCCCTCCTCTCTCTGTTGGTTTCAAACAGGACGGAGCTCTGAGCCCTTCTCGCAAGCTGGACGGTGAAGGGTTGATATCCGTCGTCCTGTGCAATGGCTGACTAAGCTCCAGCATAGTTGCAGGGGATGCCAAGAACAGGGCGGCGGCGGGCGCCTTTCGGCTTCCCCGCAGTGGTTCGCCTCCGGGTCAAGGCGACCGACCCCCTCGAGGCCTTGCGGGCGGCCGCTGGCCAGATCGTCGCCGCTCCTGGAGCAACCGAAAACAGTCCTCCTTGAGCCAAAAATGCACAAATGCGCATCTGCAACAATTGCCTTGGACCGTGGCTTGTCAATAAATAACACACAAGGGCGCTCCAGCAACAGAGGCGGTCCTTTGCGACGAGCTTTCGATGAATGAGCCTGGACCAACGCTTCCACCGCTCTTCGCCGACTGACTGATTGTTGTTTTTCTCCCTTCCTGCGTTCTTCTGCCTCACGATGCGGTCGCCAAACACCATCCGCCCAGCCGAGTCATGTGACCCGGATTACATCAGCGCCCAGACCAGCAGCGAAGCCAACGGGTGAGAAATGATCGTTGAACCTGCAACCAACTCCCTTTGCTTGTGCTGCTGCATTCCCGCCGCCATCTAACACTGTGGTCAATGTCCAATAGGAGCCTCGTCAACTACACGGTTGAGCCCTACTCGTCGCGTACATCGCCCGACACCCCGCGGTTGGAAGAACTGCATCTCCGGGACCGGTCTGTGACGCCTGGGAAGTCGCGCAAGCGGCAATTGCCCCAGGAGCCCGTTGCTGCTCCGCCCTTTCGTCCTCGCCCACAGCCCAAGGTCTTCACCCCAAACTATGATGATGGAACCCACCGCGTCTTCGCCGGTGCCAAAAAGCATACCGCCTACGACTTTGACTCGCCCGTGGCCTCGATGTCGGTGCTGGATAGTGAGGAGATGCCCGTCAATACCCTGACCCTGGAACCCGAAACACGCCAAATCTCAGAAGAACAATTGATCAATGAAGTCCGCACTATCTATGCTGGCCTGGTTCTGGTGGAGAAGAAATGCGTGGAGATTGACCGCCAACAAGCCAATAACCCTGTTCCCCTGAACCATGAACAATGGCAAGCACTCATAGCCCTGCATAGGACCCTCCTCCATGAACATCACGATTTCTTCCTTGCATCCCAGCACCCCTCAGCAAGCCCTGCCCTTCAGAAACTGGCCAGTCGTTATTCAATGCCTGCCCGGATGTGGCGGCATGGAATCCACTCATTCCTGGAACTTTTGCGCCATCGGCTCCCCGAGGCATTAGATCATATGCTGGCCTTTATATACACTGCATATTCCATGATGGCCCTGTTGCTTGAGAGCGTACCCAGCTTTGAAGACACCTGGATTGAATGCTTGGGGGATTTGGCTCGGTACAGAATGGCTGTGGAAGAGTCTGACCTCCGCGACAGGGAGGTGTGGGCTGGTGTGGCAAGATATTGGTACAACAAAGCTGCAGATAAATCTCCCCAGGTTGGGAGAATTCAGCATCATCTTGCTGTTCTTGCCAGACCCAATATTCTTCAGCAGCTGTTCTTCTACTCCAAATCCCTGGTTTGTGTTCAACCATTCCCTAATACTAAAGAATCCATTATGCTGCTTTTCAACCCTCTTTTGGACCAAAAGGAATTAGCCCTGGCTCACTATTCCCCTACAATGTTGCCCTTTGTGAAAGCTCATGGAATCCTTTTCACCAAACAGTCAATACTCTCCTTCCTTGAGTATGGACTTGAGTTCATGTCATACCTGGGAACCCAAGTTGGTCGCGTCGGATCCAAATGGAGAGAACAGGGAGTCTACATTGCCTCTGCAAATTTTGCCTCTCTTATTGAGTATGATGCTAGCTCACGCCTCAGCAAACTGTTCCAGAAGGCCATTGAATCCCCTGTCAGTATCTCTCATGTCAAAGCTTCTTATCACTCTCTTGCCCCTTGCCAGTTGTGTTTGCACCCTGTTTCTGATGTTTCCTTCCAAACCTCTGCTGAAATTATTTCCTATGCATCCTGTTTTACCTTCCATATTTTCTCTTGTGTTCTGAAACACATTGGTGATAAAAATATCCTACCTCATGTACATGTCTCTTTGGCCTTTGTTTGGTCTGCCTCATTGGTTCCGGAAATCATGTCCTACATCCAGTCTGAAGTGCCATGGGGGAGTTTAGTCACTTTTTTAAACACACTAAACACACAGGGCCTGAATGAGTCTCGACTGAAAAATGAACATTTTCCTATGCCAGAAAGTGGCACCAAGCGCCATCTACCTGAAGATTTTTCCATGCGTGGATTGGTGTGGAGTCAATTGTACTACCCATCTGGTTTCTTTAACTACTCCCTCCTTGAAGATGAGGAGGGAAGGTCTTTGGAACTTCCTAGTGTCACAGTGCCTCGGGTTGAACGATGTCTTTGGCTGGGACATCGCCTTGCATCAGTAAGTGAGGAAGAGGCATAAACATTTTTAAATTGTGCTAATCATATGGTTTTAGCTGGACCTCTGGATTTCATACAATGAGAAGCAGAAGAAATTTGTCGTCAAGGACCATGGCAAGCAAATAGAGGGCAAGGCTAAAAGGGTAACCCTCTTTGATGATGCAGCGCGCTTCTTTGAGGAAAGAGACTATGTCAAGACGTCGTCAGAAGATGAACATGATTTACAGATGACAGACGCTGAGCCTGTACAGGCTGTTGAACCTGATTTTCGAAGCCCCGACAAAACCTGACGTCCCGTTGAATCGTGCGAGGGTCAAGCCATAAAGCGTACACTACGATTCTGGAACTGAAAGTCGACGGGTAACTCCTCCGCGTGACCAATGCCGCACCATGGCTCGTGTAAGCCATTACTTTTGATCCTCATTATTCGTTTGAATCTACCAATACCGAATATGGGATTTGAGTGGGGGTTAACGCACTTCGGCGATGGTCGACTCCCAGGTGCGCCGCGGAGGCAAACCTTGCAGGCTTGAAAGTATTTGGGATATTAGGGCATTGAGTCTTACATGGCGTCTGCGGCCATTACCGGGTGACGGAAGAAGAGTAAGAAGAAACGAAGAAGGGAGGAGGATCGGAACTTTGTGTATGTAAACATACCATCTATACGTTACAAACCAACAGGTTAAAGAGAGCGTTGATCGTTCATTGGAAATTTGGCTCGTCGTGTATTTTCGGCTGCCCTGTAATTTCGGAAGTGCCATTTTCCGTTTCTCGATTGTCGACACGGGGTGTAGTAACGGAAACAAGACGATCCACAAATCGGTGGATTGGGATGCTAGTGGTGAATCAATCACTATGAGCTGGCTTTCGCCTGGAAGGTATCGTCTCCGATATGTTCAGGTGTTGTCCGACACGAACGGTCAAGATAGTCCCTCTCACATGGTCCTTGAAAGTACGGATGCGAAACGAGTGCGACCATACATATCCGCCCCGCCCAGATCGAGACAGCATATCCCCTTCCGTTCTCCCGTTAGAAACCGACGCCTTTTTTTTTTTTCATTTGGCCCCTTTTCCCGTTTTCTCTTGGTGAAAAGTGGTACGACAAAACCGGGAACCCTAGAATGCCGACGGGATGTTGTGTAGTTTTCGTCGCACTCGCTCATTCTTCCGGGGCGGGGACACGAAAACCGGGACTTCCTGCGGTGGTCTGTCTTCCCAATCGGGAGTTCGTGATTGGAGCGGCGGTCGCTTCCGACGGGGAAGGGACTTGTTTGTGGCGGGAGCGGGAAGGGCTCAGTGGAATGGTATCGGTTGGGAATATAATTTGGATCTCCGCGTGAGCGTCATGCGGGCGGAAAGATTGTTTGCCGTGATGCTTGGGATTTTCTAGGCTTTCCTTTTCCGAATAGTGAGAAGGGGTTCTCTTTTTTTTTTTTTTTCGTCTTTCAATCCGGTGCTTGATCAGAAGATGAGCATCGTCGCACAGGAATGACGTGCTTGTGGCAAGGCAACTGAGGTTTAAATATAGGAGGAATGGAACATGCGAGTGATACAAAAGAAGTTCAATGTAGATCTAGTAAGCTGTACTCCATGGTGTGAGTAAAACAGATGCTGGAAAGGGGCCGGAGCGGGTTGACGCCCTCAATCGGAAACGGGGCTGGCGATGAGAATGGTCGGAAGAAATTGCCGCTGCAATTCACCTGTGGGATCAAACGAAAATCCCGAGAGTGTTGTTTGACAACGTAAAAGCCGCGATATGTAGACGCCTTCCTGCAGCCTTTGGATAGCATCAGATATATTGTAATTCCGTGCCACTTCACATTCAGCCCGGGGTTACAGGCTCACAGCCATGGAGCGTGCAAGTTTCCGAACAGGGGCCATGGTTGGGAGATAGAAATAACTCCGTGACAAGGCGCCCATATGCTTCCAGGACTGTCTACCAGATTGTAATTGTGACCAACATCTGTACCAGAGAGCGGACCGCTTGTTCATCGCTTAAGAAGGGGCAATTTCGATACTCAGAGCACGACATCAAGGCTGTATGGCGCCGAACAGATCCACAAACGCCTGTAAGTATTTTGGTTGAGATGCAACCCGGAAACCAACAGTTCCATAGGATAACCATTCCCTAATCAGGGAATTGAACACAAACAAAATGTAGCCTTTGTTGGCTACAGTCCAAAGAGTCATGCAGAAGACCGTTGCAAAAACATACAGACAACCTTGAGAATTGGCCAGCCTGAGTAACCATTGTAGTCAATGTCGAAGGCGGATCAACACAAGGATGTCCGCGAGGCATGACGAGGATGAATAGTTCAAAGTGCGTAACAACCTTTGGGATCGAGAGATCCTTTCGAAAAGCCAGAGCTCAACATGCTCCGACTTCAGGGTGGTTTGAATGACTGTATTTCCCGCGACGCGTTGTTTCGCGTCAAACCTAGCAAACATAAGATCTGTCCAAGTCATAAACCCCTTGCAATAGCTGGAGAATCACCCAAGCTTTGTTCTGGTAGCAACCCCGAGCAAAGGGAAGCAACTCAAGAGATTTTTCTAGGGAAACGAGGTGGAAATGGTTGTTGGGTGAGAAGATTTCGATGGTTTTGAAAACGATTTAATTATCACGTCAAACATTCGCCATGGACTACCATCAGAATCAAGCATATTGAATCGCCGCTATCCAGGCATAACATGTCTGCACCTCTGCCCGCACTGGGCATCCTATCGAATTCGCTTGCAACGCCCACACAACTCGCAACGTCATCCTCTTCTCTTGACGAGATTCCCACCGACCTTGAGACGTCAGTTCGATATGCGGGCGTGAGGTTGACTCAAGCAGCCGGCGTGCTGCTTCGACTCCCCCAGGGTATCATTGCCCAGGCGATTGTGCTATTTACAAGATTTTGGATCGGCCCTGAAGGAGGGAGTCTTGCCATATATGGCGCAAAGGTTTGGGATCCGATCGTGTATCTATAACGGCGGAATCATTCTAACAACCGGTCGAATGTCTTTAGGATATATCCGCTGCCTCCGTCTACATCGCCGCAAAGCTCTCCTTTACTCCCGTGTCTCCGCGCTCCGTGATCAACGTTTACGCGTTCCTGCTCTCCCCGAAATCCTCGCCGCTCCGTTTTGTAAATCCCTCTGGGCCTCCGTCCCAAGCGCATCCAGAAACCTACTACGTCTCCGAAGGGTCATATCAATCTGAACGTCTCTCGCTTATGAAACTAGAGTCTACAATACTCCGCACCCTTGGTTTCGACACTCACGCTGCCATTCCGCACCCAATTGCCTTTACGTACCTCCAAACCTTGGGTGCATCCAACCCAGCTGTTTCAAAGCGGACAATTGAACATTTGAATGCTGCCCTATTTTCCCCGCAACTACTATATGTAACACATCAACCCAATGCTCTCGCTGTTGCAGCGATATATCTTGCCGCCAGGGAAACTGGGGTGAAATTAGTCGATTGTGAGTGGTGGGAGGTATTTGACGTGGATAGAGAAGAGCTAGGGTTCCTCGTCGTAGCGATGAGGAGTATGGAAGGATTCGCGCAGGCGGAGGAAGAGAAATGGAAGGGAAGACTACTGCCCCTGACTGTAGCGGACGTGCAGAGGGAGCTGGAGAGAAGGAAAATCATGGAAGAAGAGGGATGAACCCTAGTTTTCCCATGATCTACCACCCTTGAGAGGGAGTCCGCGGCTACAGCATTCTGTGTTATCCGTAAAGGGATACCTCACAGCCCAAAAGTTTTCCCTGGTTCTCTCTGGTATGATTACGGGGTTCTGCGGCAGGAGGTTCACTCGAAATCAGTCTCTATCAAGGGCCTGAAAAGGAATCATTTACATAGCTGCCTGAAGGAACATCGTCCCCTCACCCACTCTCCCACTGACAACTATCACAGGAGAGTGTTGCGTATGCCGGAGCTCCCAGGTGAATCCGTTATCTCGCTCCGCCTCTGGAGGCTTTGCTTTTGTTGCTGCTGCCGCCGTGTGTGATGGGCCAGATTACTATATGTCTACGGAGTACCTAACACAGATGTGAACTCGACACTAAATTTATTATTGTTAGCTGATTGACTAGGCTTCCTTGACTTCTTTATTCTGCTAAACACTTCAAAAGGTGCTTTGATGTACACTTCCAGCTGATTCTGCTTGTCATGCATTGGCTGCAGGTGACCTGTGCTTTATTCGTGGGCTGATGTATGAAAATCATATGCCCACATAACTGACCTGCTAGTTACTCTTGTACTTTGTCAGCGGAACTTGGACCTGACATTGGAGTCATTGGTATCTGCTCCATCTCCCTCTCCTTTGCGTCTCTCTGCACTTCTTGATGCCGTCCATGACCGAATAACTAGGTTGATCACGTGGATGTCATCATCAACGTTGACTTGAGAGGGGCAGGCTGCAGGACAGAGCACATCTTCGCATGAAACACAGACTCAGTTCGGCAATAGCAATCATTTAGCTAGGGCTGACTGACGTGATATCATAATCTCCAGAACAACACCTCTACAAAGACCACGAACAAGCCAATATCTGCCAGATCTATCTGCAGACAACACCTCCCGAGCTCCCCGCACCATGAATTACATCCGTACCTGGCGCGACAAACTCGCGCCCATCTCCCACACCTCCACGTTCCGCTCCACCGGCCAAATAACACCGGAAGAATTCGTGCTCGCAGGAGATTATCTCGTATACAAATTCCCCACATGGTCATGGGCCGACGCTCCAGCCGCCAAACGAGTTTCCTACCTTCCAGAGGGAAAGCAGTATCTAGTTACACGGGGCGTTCCATGTCATCGGCGGCTGGATGAGAATTTTGCCGGTGATGCGGGAAAGGAAGATTTTATGGTCAAGGATGGATTTGGGTCTGGGGAAGGGAAAGGGGGCGATGACGATGATGGGTGGTTGAATACCGGTGGGGCCGGGGTTGGTGCTGGAGCGGGCGTTGAGTCGAAAATAGGGGATGTGCGGACGGTGGATGAGGCGGGGAATGTGGGTGAGAAAGAGGAAGAGGAAGAGGAGGAAGAGATCCCGGATATGGAGGACGAAGAAGACGACGAGGAAGCCATTATCAGAGAACCGCTCGGAAAGTCAACCAAGGCGTGAGTTTCCATCTTCTTGGATATCCCCTGTTTAGCACATTCTGACCATAGCTCAGCCCACTACGGACCTATACCCTCTACATAGCTTATACTCCCTACTATCGAACCCCGCGCCTTTATCTATCGGGCTACCTTTCGCCATCCGAACCGCTCCCACCCCAGCTTATGATGGAAGATATCGTGGGAGACTATAAAGACAAGACCGTGACTCTCGAGGACTTTCCCTTTTTCGACGGGGGTATCAAAATGGCCAGCGTCCACCCTTGCAGACACGCCAGCGTCATGAAAATCCTCCTCGATCGCGCCGACGCTGCCCTAAAGATTCGCAGACAGAAGCTCAAACGCGCCAACGCGACGGGCGAGCAGGCAAAGATAGAAAGCGGGCTGGAGGGACTGGTAGACGACACTGCGCGGCTAAGTGTATCTGGGGGGAACAGCCAAGCCGCATCTACCGCTGGAAACGCGGGTGACGAGTGGGAAGTTTTGCAGCATGAAGGAAGCGAAGAGGATGAAGAAGATCCGCAGGTGGCTATCCGCGTTGATCAATATTTGGTTGTATTCTTGAAGTTCATTGCGAGTGTCACACCTGGGATTGAACACGATTTTACAATGGGTGTTTAAGCTTCTCTCCCTTTCTCCTGGTCGGGTTCTGTGATTTCAGCCCGGAGCTTAATATGCTTTTTTGGTGGCCAGATTGTGTGAATTGAATGATGATTGCGGTATGGCTTGGGCATATATCTCCGAATCGCAAAGCATTGGTACTCTGGGTGTAAATCAGCTGCTAGACGCTATGTTGTCGCTTGCTGATACCAAGCAGTTATGTAGTTAACCCAACCAATCCATTATAGAAGGATGCCTCCCAATAATTTTCTAATAGCGCAGACTAATGTGCAGCTTGAAACATAAACCTAGGTCGGCTATATGAAACTAGGGCAAAAGAACTTAAGGGGAACAATAATAATAATATAAAACCACAAGAATAAAACATACAATAGATGTGAGTATATATTCAAAAATCGCCAAATTTTGTTTTAGGTAACTTTTCAGGACGAATCTCCGCCAAATCGGAAGATAGTAGATGGAAAGATTTCCAAGTTAGATAAAAAAATGTGGCTATCTGGCCCAGCAGATGCGAAAAGCTAGGACTCGAGCTGCGTTGATCCAAACGCAGTCCCAAGATTAGTGCTCTGTTTAAACCGGATTTCTGGCTCAGCTTCTGGAGGTTCTCCGGATCCCTCCCCTTCATCGTCTTCATCAGATGAGAGTGACGGCCGTGATAATGCTCTGTGTGCTTCTCTTAAAAGCTTCTCATCTAGCTCCTCAAGAAATTCCGTGTCCTGGTTAAGGTCATTCTGCAGGCTCAACGGACCTTGAAGAGCGGGATCTTCGTCCAGCTCTTTGTGGTAGGCAGCGGTATCGAGGCTAGCGACAGGGAATAGTGATGGTAGCGGTGCGCGCGGAGATTCGGGAGGTATTGATTCAGCTATTGAAAATGGAAAACCTGGCTCCAGCGGTTGGTCTAGTGGGGCTAGAGGAGTGGCATCCATATCACTATGTATCCCACCAAGCGGTGATGCTAGACAAGCTTGCTCTGATGGTAGGTGCGGTTTGAGCTCTGTGCCAACCGGCTGGCAAAGAGGAATGGGAGCACTTGGGATGGTGGGAGACACCTTGGCGGCAATATCAGGAGCTATTGCGGTGGACTTTAGCGTTATCCCATCCAGTGAACTGTCCACAAGCTCAACCGGGACACCAACGGCTCCCGAGCGATCGTGGGGACGAGATTTCGGGGATAGCGCCTCGTCCAAAGATGGAGAAAACCCAGGGTTGCCTAATTCGGATCTGGCATGCGGAATGTCCTCTGGAAATACCCGTGAAGGCTTAACAGTTGGGCTAGATCCCTCCCAAACGTGGTGTTGCTCTCCCACATCAGTTCCCACGGGTATCTCAGTTCTCCCTCCTGGGACAGCTGGAACAGTCCCGTTATCCTTCCTTTCCAGCTCTGCTATTCGCTGCTGCATGATAGATCGCTCTTTTTCCCACAGCTTGCGCTCTTCAGAAAATGCGGCTCTTTCGAATTCGAAACTGATTCGCTGCCGCTCGAGCGCGAAACGGGCTTGTTCAATGTAGCCCGCTAAGTCGGTAACGGTTCTAGTTCTATGAGGGTAGGATTTAGGAGCAGGAGGTTCGGATTTCGCCCTGGGAAGGCTCATATGGAAATGATGTGGGGAAAAAGGCCCTTCCCCCCAAGGCAAGGTGTATATATATAAAGCGGAGAGGTTAACGGCTCGGGTTCATCTTGCTTTTGGCCGGATGTTGGATCCTAGATTTTCCGGGCCAGGTTAGTGACGAAAACGAGGCGGCTCTGTTTGAACGGAAGATGAATCAGCGCAAGCGAGCTCCAGTCGATCCCAATGACAGCTTGCGCAACTCATCTCTATTAACAGATGCCATGGCGTGGTCGAGTGCTGTGGCCTGGATTGTGGAAGTGGAATTGGGATTTTGGCGCTGAAGATGTCATTGCTCCCCACCAGCCAAGCCAAGTCGGGAATGGCGTGTAATTTATGGTTTTGTGTGACTAGTGTAACAAAATATCCGCTATGCTTAATATGGCTTAGTGGCAGATCAGCCATGTTCCTGCATCTCACAGCGAGCTTGACCTCAAATCGTCAACAGCATCACTCTTGAGCTTTGCTTTAAAGATGCAGCATAGAGGCTCGAGATGCCCGTTCGCCAATGCCTCACACGGCGGCTGATGCTATGGCAGCTTTGATAGCCAGTCTCTGATTCTACCTGGATTGGCTTCCCACCCAACCTAGTTCTTCTGCTGACGACCAAGGTTCACAAGCAGGAAGTTTGATGTCGACAAGCTGCTGTCTCTCACAGCCTCGACGTCACCTGACAAAGCTTCTATGGGAGGCTTCAGAGCTTCCCGTATTGCCTCACTGGAGGCAATCGGCACCTGCTCTGACGATTGTGATTCGGGGCCATATTCGGTCACATCTGGCAAAGTGCATTTCGCAGTCAAGCGATGCAAGTCTCCAGGCGTGATTATCAGGACCCTGGGATAATGTGACTCGCGTCGATGGCCGGACTTCCTTGTACTGCCTCTGTTTGCTCCCCCCTAACTAGGTACGAGCTGCTTTCGCTGGAAATTGCGATTCGAGTGTGTGCATCTGTTTCAGTGTTGGCTTCCCTTCTTATTATTGCACATTATATGTGCAGCGCCCGCTTTCATACTCCACTTAATCGGCTCATTTTCTATGCGACTTGGGGTAACATTCTCGCGCATGCTGCTGAGATGATAGCAGAGTCAGGATACCGAAATGGGACTAACAACTCACTTTGCCGATTCCAGGCATTTTTCATCCAATGGTGTGCCATAATCTCAATTGGCCTTTCCCCTTACTACCAATTCAGCTAACCAAAACGAACCAGGTTCACGTCGTCAGATGCTTTCTGGAACTTATGTATCGCGTGCAATGTTTATTTAATCATATTCCGCCGCTATAGCCTGCCGGATCTGAAAAAGTTGGAATGGAAATACTTTCTTTTCTCATATGGGCTACAGCTCCCCCCTTCGATTGTATTCTTCTTTATCAAAACCAAATCCAGGGGAAGGGTCTACGGCGATGCAGTTGTATGTTGACATCCCAACATCGGTTTGTACTTGCGCTAATATAATTTGTTTCACCTAGTTTTGGTGTTGGATCAGCCGTCCATGGGGCGTACTTCGCCTTACTGTCTATTACATTCCCATATGGCTAGCGGTCATACTTACCATGGCGATTTATATCGCGGCCGGCGTAAAGATATTCGCGCACGAAAAAGGAGTGCAAAGTCTTACTGCCCAGGAACAGCTCATGCTGGATGGCCAAACACGCCAGCCATCGCAGGAGCAAGAGAGTGGGAGCCAACAACCTAGCGAAAGCCGGTCGTCATGCATAGTACCTCCAAATGATTCAATGACTGGAGAACAGCGGGCGGTTGAAACTCGGCCTTCCTCTCAAGCTTCGTCAACGCCCGAGAACCAAAGGTTACGTGAAAGCTCAATGGCTACGACGGTGTCTTCGGAGAGAGTTTTCGGACCACAAAATCAGAACCGACCGAGACATGAACACGAATTGATCTCACAGAACAATTGTACACCTGATCAAATACTTGCCCAGCGATATTCGAACTTTGCCGACACTGAGCTCGCAGCCCACGGCAGCCTTGCGCAGAACCGTCTTCAAAACCTTGGTTCCCTAGAGTCTGATATAGCCAGTATAGGACGTCTGGCGAATCGTAATCAAGCCGCTGATTTTGAAAGGCGACTGGACGCCCAACTAGAAGGTTTAGAGAAAGGTCCTGTACGTCGAAGAGGTTCAGTCGAGATGCGAAAGGTGGCTAGAGGCTATACCCGATTTGCAAGCATTTATTTTGTTTCGTTAATACTCACTTGGGTAAACACTACCAATACTTTCCAGGATATTATCCTCTTTGTTTTATCCGCGGTCATTCGCTGATGTTTTGACTCCAGATACCCGCGTCAACAAATCGGATATACATATTGATACACCCACACAACCCTCAGTATGGACTGCTGCTTGCGTCAGCTATACTTTTACCTCTGCAGGGTTTCTGGAATGGTGTTATCTTCTTCTCTACTTCGTGGGATGCTGTTCGAGAGTCCTACGGAACCCTGAAATCACCTCGAGACTTGTCTGCACCATTATTTTGGCGACAACTTTCCACGTTCTTCGTAACAAGCCTATGGGAGCGAAGACGAATTCGATTCAAGCTTCCCTGGAAATAGTCATGGCTGGGTATCACCGAGACTTTCCTTAGGTTTGTCATCGAGCAGTCAAGGACTTGCAAAGCCATTCCTGTCCAGCTCGCGGAATTACTCAGATCATGTTTTCTCGCGACACAATTGCCTCCAAGTGACACTCAATTATATCCTTACAATTCTAAGTTTTCGACCTCGCCTAGTCCTCTCTGGCTAAATTTGGATGAGAGGGATAAGAGCCTAAAACTTCTTGTCGACGATGGCCTCAATTCAATATTTCATTGCCCTGGATGTTTCAGAACATACTATGCAAGAATGTGTGAGATATCCTATTAAAATTGTGTACATAAGGGCAAAGCTGAATAAACTCGTGGCATACCCAGTTCTCCAACACTATTCTCACTTATAATTTCTCTTTTTCTGGTTGATAGGGGCTATAAAATGGTTAGTATCATTCAACACTTTATCTGCATCTTGGTAATATTCCATTTTCCAACAGCTTGCAACAACATGACCTGGTATTGGGCTCCCCATTAAGATGAATTTTCACACTTTACAATATTTTCGATTTCCTCATCTGTTCTATCTTCATACTATTAATATTGAGTGATTTCAATGGAGATATCATGTGGAGCGGTGTTCTTGCTATAACTATAGGTTATTACAATGAAGGTAGCAGACTAATACAGAACACCATGCGTATTATATCTATCAAGGCCTTTATTTGATTAATGTATCCTCTTTGCAATCATATGCTCTAATCATACAAGTACCGCCACTCACGCAGCACGCGTTGATATGTTTTAATTTCCAGACTTTGGCGCAGCATCGAAAATGAATTAGTCTATACATTCCTTCTATAGACCCCGAAACCCCATGCTGCTCGGAGCATTGCCAGGCCCCATGCCATCCCCAGGCTATCCCACACAACGTTCAACTTGCTGCCTTTTACTTCTCTCCACCCTACCGGTACCTCCGCAACGGGGATGTTGGAAAACTCCGCCAGCATGAGCATTTCCACATCGAAGATCCAGCCCTCAGAGTGCATGTGGGGTATTATGTAGGGCAAGCTGGCCCGGGAGAAGAGCTTAAAGCCGCACTGAGTGTCTTTTATTCGGGCTGTGCGCGGAGGAGTGAGAAGGCGAATTGTAATATGGAAGGCATGCATTAAGAAGTTGCGAAGTTTGGAGCGCTAAAGGCAATGGGTAGTTAGATGAGATCTTCTTCACTGGGGAGATGAGAGGGCGGGTAGGACACTTCCATACCTTGACAACAGCTTCGCTCCCTACTAAATGCGCTCTAGACCCCACAGCGACACCTCGCAGCTCCGAATCTTCAGCGTCTTGACAAGCCTGAACTAGCTTCCCGAGATCTTCGAAATTACTGGCGCCATCAGCATCGGCAAAGACAACATATTTTCCTCTAACATGTCTCATTCCATGCGTGACTGCGCCACCCTTTCCTCGATTCTGTGTCAACTTCACAACTCGGATTGTCCCAGGTGGGATGTGTACACCTTTTCCCGATTTTGGAGTCCATGGTCCCGCATGGCCCTTTGGGTGAAGTGATAGTTGGTGGTCCCTTGCAAAAGATAGAGCGGTTTCAATAGTCCTATCAGTCGATCCATCGGAGACTATTATCACCTCCCAGCCTTTCAAAGGCGTGTGGGAGTCCGATGGGTTCGATTTCCGATTGTGTACGTTATTGGCTCCGTCCTGCTTCGGCTTTTGTTTGTTGACGCTGTTTGATTTTTGGGGTGTCAAGGTTCCATATGCGCGCTCCAGATAGTTCACTGCTTCTTCCAGCATTCCTGGTAAACGCTCCTCCTCATTGTATGCGGGTACCACCACAGACATGAACAATTCAGCGTCTTCAAGTGTATTACGTCTGGGTCCAGGTTGGAGCCGGTCATACCAGCATGGTAGTGTAGCGGATGGGGTGACAGCACCATCTTCTGATATAGTCTGGTAGGTCTTTTCTTCAGGAAACGGAAGTCTCGGGACAGGTGCGAGGAGGAAGATGAACGTGTATCCCTATTAAATGCAAGTCAATATTTTACAAGAGCAAAGCCAACGAAGAGCGAGGGCACGCACAAGAAGGACAAGCCCCGCAAAAGTCGACACAAGGAAGCCTATCAAGTACGGAACCGGAATCTCCTTGACGAGCTGTGCGCAATGGAGACACCCGTTCCAAGTGCCGAACGCGTCCATGTCTACCGCCCGTTCCCGCACTTGTTCTGGTCAATTGACCAGAGCTCAAGCTGGGAAATCAATCGACCAGCGTGACATTCACCACCGGGACACCGTTAGGAATCATCAACGAAACTGTAGACAGAATAAACCCCTAGAAATGGTGCGGCTCTCAGTGGGAAGTTCGTGGTGGGTGCCAGAGTGTCCTCTCACCAGGATTTAAGTTCCACACTAAGATCGAAGCTCTTTCTAATAATAGCTAACAGAGTATATAATGGTTACGGAGTAATCTTTGAAGAAATAGGCTCGCCCGGATACTCATAGTGAAAACAAGAGAATAAAATAAATGTGGTAAGTGACCGATGCTGGTTATAGTGGGTGAATCCCTTAGTGTGTGCTCCAGAAATCGCATATTTGCAGTTAACACTGCCTTAGTTATATCCTAACCTCCTCTCTCTTCCTCAACAGATGTGCAGGCCTGGGGGCAGATGGTAAAGGGAGGCAGTCGGCGCTCTATTTTGGACACATGCGTAATACGTACGTGTATACGGAGTGCGCATTGTGCATGGCATAGTCCCTCGAAGAGTGGAGAGGCTCTAATTAGGCTTATAATTAGCGGGTTGTGTCGCGCAGCATCAATATCAGTGATAGTAAAGTAGCCCAACCCACTCGCAATTAATGAGGGCTTTGGGCCTGCAGATACTGCTCGCATACTTTGTAACCAACCAGCATCAAAAAACAGCATTGAAATATGGATTTTCAAAGCCGCCCCCGTCGGCCTCTTTTCATCATCTTACACAAGAACGGACACGATGAACCAGAAACCACCAAAGGGTGATTCAAGAGCTCTATCTCCTCCTTCAAGTTATAGGTCTTCATATAATCCGCCCTTGGGTTGCGATATCTTGCGCTGAGGCTGAACTCTGACCCAAAGAAGTCTATCAACTGGCGCAGGGAATCTATCAAAACAGACGCATAAGTTTTGCAACGCATCAGACCTTGGGGTCCGCCTTGATGCGAAAATGCAGTCCGTTAACTATTCTTTGTGCGCGGGCTTCGATTACAGGAGCAACAGTCAGATAGGACCAACCGTGACACCCAAAGACCATACATTCAAGACATGAAAACAGCCTCTACCCCACCCCTGGAACTCGCCATAATTTGTAATCGTCTGTGGTAGCTATCGAAATTAGTCATGAGTCTCCACTGTATAATACCAGTCTAAGTTAGCAATCAAAATATGGTCTACTTGCCATTCTCAAGCGTGAGGCTTGATTGGGCAAACACGCGCCTTGAAGAGGGTTGACCATTTGGCAAAGCCTTTTCTATGCGTCCATGGAGAACCTTGTGCTCCGTAAGGTCACGGTTAACGAAATAGCCTCAGGGCGGCAAGGCTGACTCAGCAGATTGTCCCTACAATTCAGGTCGCCTTGGCACGCATTCCGGCAACTCTTCTTCCAATCGGCTTCGTCCGTTGGCGTTTCGGCCCGCTAGCGCCAGCATAGCCGATGAGCCCTCGACTTTAGACCCCATCTTGATCGATATGTTTGTGGATGTTTTCCTAAGGCCGCATAGATTATAGCCTTGTGGAGTATTGGCTCTGCATGCTCTTAGCTTTCACTCAGAGGTTCCTTCCTGACAACCGCCTCGTTCAAAAGCCAGACTTGCGCAAACACACAATGCCAAATGTAGCCGGTTTTTGTTATGTTTATGTACGGAGTAGGATTGTTTCAAAAACGATAGGTAATCTCTCATTAGCAAGGGTGGCTTAGCTGCCTACACGGTTCAGATTAGTAGCAGATATCGCAAGCCTGACTAGCCCATATCTTACCTGCTCCAAGTTGCTCTCGGAGTTATTACTGCCTCGTTCAATGTCCTCATCAAGCGCTCCTTTAAATACCGATGAGCGATAAAATGGCCCCACGGCATAGACCATATCTGCCAACTGAGGTGTTTGGTAAAGAAAAACATGGTATATTGAGGGCTGGAATTAATGAAACTCATAGGTTGTTGTTATGTGGATTATGTAATGGGCTGTGGCTGGGCGCCCCAGCCACTTATTTACATTGTTAATGTTCAAGCATTGGTGCCCTGGTGACAACAACTGGACTCCAAGCCTGCAGGGCTCCCCATCCATTAACCAAACACTCGCTCTGTTTCAAGCTTGAGAGGGGAGATGCTCCATGCTTTGCAGCCACGGAGTACTTGAAATAATTAATGCCCATGCTTTTTCTGTGACAAGTTCATTTGTAATAATCGACGATCAATTGAGGTTTCTTGTCTTTCTTTCAAGCTTGTCTGCTGCCAAATTCAATCAAATTCCCAACACCACACAATCTAGCTCTTGATCGAGCCCGCCAATCCCTTCCGCAGTTTAGATTTTCCTCGGCTGATTGATGCGGTGGTTGCTGGCAGCATCCAATTAATTTGAGGATTTAGATGGCTACGTGGACGGAAGGGGTTGGCACTGGGGCTGCAAAAGGCTCCACGAGCTCAACGTCTACAGAACCGCCACGACCTTGCCTTAGCGGCCCAATGTCCGGATTCCAGTCATCAATATTCTCAGAAGTTAGCCCTCGTCGCTTGTCACACCGAAACGACACTCCTTTTCCAGAACCCCCGCTAGAGATCCCCGATAAACCTTTCGATGAACACGGTACAGGCCCAACATCACCGACAAGAATAACTCCAGGAAGTCTCCTACACCTTAAACCTCGAGAACATACTCCCTCGCACCGGCCGACGCATCGACGAGCTAGAACGGAGCTATTCCTGTCGAAAAGCGACCCCTTTATTTCGCCTGGTGCCCTAAAGGATGTCGAACTCCATACAAATGAGAAGGCTCCCACGCTGAAAACGGAACAAGGAAGCAAACTGTTTGCTGGGCTTTTCCAGGGGGAATCGGCGCCAATTAGATTTGGAATACTTCCCTCACCGACCAAAGAAAAAGACCCGATATCGGGCGCATCTACGCCAAATCAAAGTCGCCCTTCGTCCCCGACTAAGAAGATGGCAGTTCCATCCTCGTTAAAGAACATCGCTTACTCGAATCCGTTTTCCTTTTTCGGTGTGAAACAGCGGAAGGAATCTTCCAATATGCCGGAACCTGCCGAGGATGAATACTTGAACCTAGATATCGATTCTTTCCTCTTTCGTCCCGAGATGTCGGGCATCTCGCCCGAACAAGATTTTGTCAACTTTCAACGCAATGCTGAACAATTGGTGCGCCAATTGCGAGATGCCTACAAGCAACGTACATTCGCTCTGCACCAAGCACTTGCCGAGAAAGTAGAGCAAAAGGAGGAACTCGAGGAGACCCATTCAAGGCTTCAAATGATAAAATCTCAACTGAATGGGATGGCGGCTAAGGCTCTCAAGCAAGACGAGGAAATGAAGGCGCTCGCTGAGGAACTAAGATTGGAACGCCAGAAACGACAGCAGGAAAGAGAGGCGCGACAAGCCAGTATTATGCTTGAGAAGAGGTCCGACGAACTTGCTGATGTGGATGGGGCCCCAACAAACACCACCAGAAGGCACACTAAGAAATCAAGTGGAGCGTCCATAAGCTGCGATTCTGGATTTGAGTCTGCAGATGAAAGCGTTTCGGGAAGCATATTTTCCAAAGGAACGGATGACACGGCCCCGACACGACCTCCTTCTGTGATCTCTACAACCTTTGACGTGCCGCGGACTCCGCTGATTTCCACATACCAGCCGTCGCCTGCGAGACCTCAGTCGAATCCCCCAATTCGCCCTTCGGCCTATGATCGGGTTCTTAAAGGAATCTCTGCCGCTGGTTCCTCGCTGGGTAATTTAACTGCCTCTAAATGCCCTAACTGCCAAGGAGCTAGACTTTCTGACCCAGGGCATGTTGCTACTATCTTACAAGAGGAGAATCGTGCATTGAAATCACGGATCACGGAGCTCGAGACTGCAGTAGAAGAATGTATTACCCTTGTTGGAGGATAATCAATTGTGCGATAAGTTTATTGTTATTATGACTGAGAAGATTCCACGCCTGGCCCATTGATTTTGGATAGGTGTTGGATATTATGACTAGTATCTATGGGTTACCATTTTTGGACGATGTTATGATTTGGCTGTTAGAATGGAGTTTGGTTTAATTAGAGTGATGATTGCTTGTTGCATCTCTTTTTCCAATAAAGAATTTCTTTCTCGCATGCGAATGCAAACCAGTCCTTTAGATATCATAGTATTAATGTCAATGTTTAGCTGTCTGACAGAAAGGTATCTCAAATTTGACGCGCCTTGTCGCGCTCAGGAAATATTAGACAAATCATTTCACTGATTTACCCTTAAGACTGTATTATATTGAAGGAAAAAACCCACCTGTTGAACAGCATGAATCAATCATTTCCACCCACACCAAACTCCTTTTGTACATCAACATATCTCACGGCTCTCCGTTCAGCAATCAGCCCCAGCAAGCCTTGCCCAATGTCCTTGATTTCATTGTATTCGTGGAGCAGGCGAATGTGGCGCTTCACAATAGTTGCCGGATCTGGCGGTGAGCTAGTTTTGGGATAGGTTGAGCTGCGAATGCCATTAGGAACACAGCCCTCCCAGTAGAAGTATAGGCAAAAGTGGTGGAATCCTATGTTTCTCGAAAACCGGGGAGGGGGTATTTACTTGTATTTTTCCTGGGTTTCCGAGAGAGCAGCCTCTGTCTGAGCTATTTGGGATTGAAGTTTGGCAATGCTTGCTTCAAGCGATCTCTGGGAATGGTTCGGGATGTTAGACTGCTTTTAGCCATCCCAATGAACGATTCGATGGTGATGGACGGTGGCCAGGGAGTGCTGATGCACTAACAATCTTCTTTTCCTGCTGTGGAGTAAGTTCAGGGACTGCAGTCGAAGTGCCTGAAGGCGTTGAGGCGGTGGCAGCGGAATTTGCTTCGTCTAGCTCAGGGGCAGACCCTGATATCGAAGGTAGACAGACATCTGCAGATTTCAAGTCCGCTTTCTGCTCTGAAGCCATTATAAGAAGTTTGTATTCAATTGAGCAAGTCAGCCAAGAGTGAAGATCCTTCTGGTCATTTGTTTATTCTAGTTAAGAGATATAAGGCTGTGGATTCTCTCGTCTTAACTGGCGATAAGTGAGGTGCAGTTTTGCTGCATGTCGTCAGTGGTGAAAGCTTAATCGGGAGGATGCGATCCCTATTCCTTGGCATTTGGCTTACCTAATGCTTGATCTGTTGCTTTCGTCGGAACATTCTCTCACTTTCATCACGGTCTCTCCGCCTGTTGATACGATCTCCTAGCTTATGAGCATGTTATGCAGTTCCAGATAGATCTGTTGCTGGCTGAGGGAGCCTGGCACCTTTAGATCTCACTTTGACTGCTTTCCAAATGGTTTTCCTCTTTCCTAGGCGCAATTGAGACCCTCGCTCTTCTTCTTTTTCTGAAATTCGCTACTCCATACTTGATCGTCTTTGAACTGACTGGAATCGGATTGTCCGGACCATATTACACCGTTACTACAGCGTCTGTAGATAAAGAAAATGGGGAAGTTCGGTGCTTTGGCTGCACTTCTTGCGCTGTCATTGACCGTAGTTGTCCATGGCCATGAGCATCATGACGACCTGCCTGAAGGACAGTTTGTCTCTGTTGAACCACTTGTAAGTCAAAGTCGACATTGCTACGATTCTATTTAGACATATTTTCTCATATATTTCAAAATCTAGGACTCGATTCTATGGATTCATATACTTTTGATGACAGTGGCCTTCGGGTTTATTTTTCCCACTGGGATGGTTCTCGGCGTGAGTGAGACCGAATCTCTACGAAGAATCTAGGAGTTTGCTTATATTTAACGTGTATAATCTTAGATCGTTCGCTCCCGTTGGCACGTCCCCGTTCAAATTCTCGGCACCGTCGTTGCCTTCCTAGCCTACTTCCTCGGACATATGCACAAAGGTCGTCGGTTCGCTCCGAATATTCACGCCGCGTTTGCAAACTCTTTGATGCTTATGCTCATAATCCAACTCGTTTTGGGTACATATTTGAAATTACACTTATCTAAGGGGATTCATAGCAAAATTCGGAAATATGTCGTTACTTTGCACGGAGTTATGGGCAAAATGATGCCGCTCGTCAGCTGGATTCAAATGATATTCGGCGGTATCACTGCATTGGGCTTCTGTCATGAGGACCATCTTGGACAATGTCTTGCTCATTTCATCATGGGAAGTGCATTCATCGCCTACGGTATTGTACTTACGATTCTTCTCCTGGTTGGGCAGGTCTGGCTTCGCAGGACGGGTCGCAGCCAAGAATTTTTCGATTCGCTCATTATCGCGCTTTGGGGCTGTGTTAATACCTTTACGGAGCATCGCTGGGGCCAACCGTGGAGACATAATGACATGCAACATACGTCTATGGGAATAATTTGGTGGTGTGCTGGCCTGTTGGGTCTCTGGCTGAGCAGAAGACGGAACGGAAGACCAAGACGAAATATTTTCCCAGGAATCGTCATACTTCTTACTGGGTATGCGATGTCCTCTCATCCCCAGCACTTGCCCATTAGCGCGATGGTCCATAGTATCTTTGGATACACTTTGATGGCCGCTGGCGCAGTACGAATTGTGGAGATCTGCTTTGTATTGAAGGATCGAAGTGCTCTCAGTTATGACGGAACTGAAGCGAGCAGCTTCCAATACCTTACTCCATTTGTAAGTTTGTATCGAACTCTGACATGATCAACCCAGGACTCACAACCCTTTAGTTACTTTACGCTTCCGGTCTCCTTTTTATGGGGGCAACGGAAGAGCAGATGGAACTCTTATCGGGTGCAGGAATCGATCACGTCTCGTACATTTTAGTACTTTATAGCGTCGCATGCATCATGTTTCTATGTAAGAATTCTTCACTCCTTGTTTTACCCTTGGCATACTAATGAGCTTTGCAGTCGTCAACATCCTTCTTCACATCTATGGTGTTCATGCGTTCCCCGAAACTGCAAAAGACAATAGAAGTGCTAGAATGGCGGCGGGAAGACCACTCCAACGACCTCCTCATTATCGTGCTTCAACCTCCTTTGCTTTGGATCGATTTCAACTTGAGTCCCAACAAGTCAATGGACACGCTAGGGGGCCTTCTCAGGCAGAGCAAATTAGGGATGCACAGGAGTTCGAGCTTGAGGGGTTAATTGGAGCTATTGATAGGGATCGTGACGGGGAAGACAGCCCTACCACCCAAGGCCCTCCTGTCCCCCCCAAACCAGAGGTTTAAGCAACTAAATAGGAGATGTCAAGGGAATTCTCAAGGACTTTTGAGGACCGGGAACTGGCATAGGATACTAGCATCGGCAGGCTTTCTTGATCGGCTTAATCCTGCACTTTAATGATTCTTTTTTTTCTCATGTACATGCTAATTATAGCCTTGCAAAATGCTTGTTGTTCATTAATACTCTCCATTATTTCCTTCTTTGCATATATTGCCTGTTAGGGCATAAATCAATGTGGCTCTCTTGCTATTTCAGATGGCCAACAAGGAGACTAAGGCACGCCGTACGCCAGATTGAAGTCACGCACATAGTTGAAGGCCCCTTAGGGAGCTCTCAATGCGCTTCATGCCCGTGCTCTGCAAGCCTCCTTAGTCCTTGACGGAACGGAGCGATCCGACCTCAAGGTACCCGCAATTCGAGCTGATTGCCGATTGGCACTGGGCAGCAGCATGATGACGTCATCAGTCAACCCCATCGAAAACCTGAGGTCCATCTCAACTTCATTCCTAACAGTGGAGGCCATGATATTGATGGGCATTTTAAGTATGGGACTTAGAGGGCCAGGTCGTCATCGTTCGAGCATTGAACAATCCTTATAATGACTGAATCACTTGTGAGGGGATCTCGCTTCAAGGAATGCCCACCATTTTGCGAGGACGCCCATCAAATTGGATACAGTATTGAGACTGCTGGAGAGCACGTATATTGGTACTGGGTGTAGGGGAAATATTCAAGAAGTGGATTCAGCATTCAAAATCCTATTGAGAGGTAACGATGAATTGGCTACCTAAACCGCTGCTGAGTTTATGACTAGATTCCAAAAACCGCTGGGACCCGTGAATTATCGTGATCAGTAAAGTAGTGATGCTTCATGGACTGAAAATTGAAGACAATACTTTGCTCCAAGTGATTGGATTGTATTTCTATACAAGCTCTATGTTATAAGGGTATTCAATCAACTGCCCAATACTTCAACTCGCCCCCTTGAAATTCCGTAACATATTCATCGATTAGACATTAGTGTAATAGGGGTATCAAGTCGATATCGCTGAAAATATAACTTTTTCGATATAAATTAGATCGTTCAATTAAGCCAAAGTTCCCTGCGAGAAACTCTAATGTTAGTGAATTTTCAACAGGGCGATTTCACGCTGTGAAGATATTTGCTTACCATCATAAAAAGTTCTTCCGCTGCATGAGATATATTGATCTTCCTTATCGCTGAAGCATCGAGAAGTACACAGCCCGACTTTCGTTGATGGAAGCTTTCTTTGCTGCCTTGTTCTGCTTCTTCTTTTGGGACGATGATACCGCAGGAATGGGGTTCGAGGCACTGGGCCTTCTGCTGGTGTTGGCAGAGGATGGTGCTGGCTCTGTGAGGAGAGCTTCAGGCACAAGGTAAGAGTGGAAGGTAGCGAAGTCGGTAGCGTTGGCGGCCATGTTGTAAGAGTTTGGTAACTGGTTGCGTTTTGGAGGCTTGGGGCTAGGCGACTGTTAGACCAAAACCGAAGCACCTTTTTTCAAGCGGCAGGAACTGACCAGAATAGTTGGCTTGAAGAGAAGGGATTTGTTTTGAAGCTGTGATCGTTGTCTTGTTTAGATTGTTTTGCTTTGTTGTTGAATCCGCACAGAAGGTAGGACTGAGGGT